ATGGGGGACGTAAGGAGCCATAAAAGGCCTATCCCTCACTCTGGGGGACGTAGGGAGCCAAAAGGCCTATCCCTCACTATGGGGGACGTACTAAGCCAACCATCATGCATTAATGGAGGCCTTACCACGTGGTAGTAACTATCAAACTCTCACCAAATCCCAAATCATGCATCATGCTCAAATCATAATCAAAGAGTAATAATCATTTCACAATTAACCTCATTCAGTGGCATATCCTTCACAATTTCAAGATTTCATTCATCATCAATTAAAAACCCCACAAGACGGTTTTCCCTTTTTATATACAACATATAGTTCGAACATAATTACTACTTAAAGCACAAAACACAAATCTACTCACAATACCACAGAAGCAAGTACTAAGGATTGGAAAGTGGTTACCTCTCGCCTGAGCAAGGAATAACAAACCGACAATGTGGCCCCGTGCACCACCACGACTCACAACCGGTCTACACAAGCACACAAACACACAACCATCATATATTAGCTTTCAAACTAATAATGTGGCCAAAACAACACTTGGGGACACAAAATTCCTATCTCCCATCAAAACTCTACCCAACTCAAAGGGTATAACTATCAAGGCAACACTCCAAGGTCATACCAATCCATTAACACCTTAATTCCTTTCCAAACATCAATTAAGATTCACAACCTCAAGGACCCACTATGGAATTCTACACCCAAACATCCCATTTGAGCAATTAAGGTTCCAACAACAATTCTAAACCGATTAAACATCCAATTTAACCCTCCTTAACATAACCCAATTCACAAAACTCAAAATCAATCTCTACATTGTCATCCTCAATCCCAAATCATCCAATTCCATAAACCCTAGCTCCAAAAATTCAAGATTCTTTAAATCCAAGGAAACTACACCGATTAAATACTTAAACTAACCCAATGCAATCAATTAAACTCAAAACAATCGGTCAAAAACCTCAGTTCCATCACAACCTAGAAAATCCTAGGGTTCCACCAAAAATCCTTAGAAATTCCAAGAAAGAAAGAAGATTAGAGGTTAAAATCACTTACTTGAGGTAATGGATCCTTAGAAATGTCTTCCCAAGCCTTAAAACCGAAACCCTAGCAGAGCTCCTCTCTCCTCCTTCAGATTTTCTAATTTTCGCACAACTGAACCCTCCAGCGACTATATAGAATCGCGACCTTTCGCCGCGGCGAACTAATCCCGAGAGGGATTACTCGCCTGAAAACCCGACTTCGCCGCGGCGAGCCGCAGCGAAAGCTTCCCGAGAGGAAACTCTCGCTCGCCCAAAAGAACTTCGCCGCGGCATGCCCTTAACTTCGCCGCGACGAAACCTTCCCGAAAGGGAAGCCTCGCTCACCTGAACAACTTCGCCGCGGCGTCCCCAAGACTTCGCCGCGGCCAAACCTTCCCGAGAAGACACTCCCCTCTGAAACTCCCGGTGCGCCGCGGCGAAGTAAACTTCACCGCGGCGAACATACCCTGAGAGGGGTATGTTCATCTATTCCTCCAACAAACCTCAAATCCAACCCAAACACCAAGATCAAGATTAAATTACTAATCTATCCTCAAAATCAACCCAAAAGAGGCTATTAAAACCCGATTAAAACTTAGGATGTTACAATTTCCTCTTCAAGGGGCACATTACCCTTAATTTCTCAGTAGGGATGCCACGTCCTATCTTTATAATAATGATTTAAGAAGAACGCACAATATTGTGCCTGGTGAAAAGTAAACTTCTTCATTAATTAAAAAAATTGCTTAGGTTGTTATGCTTTGTCAATCAATTTGTTTATTATTGTTTGCACCAACAATTGATACAAGTAAAAACTAATATGTTGAGATTCAAATTTCTGCTTATCCTTTTACATGCATCAATAACTATCATAAAATGTTTCCATACGTAAAATGATTGCATAAACTTAAAAAGAGGTAAAAAATACTCAATAAAATTATTGAGTAGGACATTTTAATTGACAATTTATCTAAAAATTAAATTGTTAATAGAGTACAATAACAACATACTATCTCTGGTCCTAATTATAAGAACTTGTTTGTAATCTACAAATTAGGTCTTATAATTAGGACCGGAGGTAGTACCATGCATGTAACTAATCCCACCTAATAGGATAAAAATTCTTTTTATACAAATCTTAAAAAAAAAATTTAAGTAAAATTACAATAAATTTATTTTTATTCTTATTCAAAAATTAATTAAATAACATACATGAAAAAATTCATTGTGCAACCAAGAGGTCTAAATTTTCATTGAAGCCTTGTCGGCCAAGGATATAAATTTAATTTACAATTAATAGTTAAGTTTCATAGTAAGCAAAGAGATCATTGAACGTCGTTCTAAGAGGCAGCTGGCGCTAAAACTTTGTAAAGCGAACCTCACCAGAGAGGCAGCAGAAAAGGTAAGGCGATACTGGAGTAGGGGTGTTTGCATATTCTGTTGCAAGATGAGACGATATAGTGATTCGAGAAAGACGTAGCAACAGAGGAAGTTGCAACCAAACCAGAGACTCAGAGAGGAGGGCGACCATGAGTGCGACATCGTAAGTAGTGGCGGGTTCACCCTGCATTGAGTTGTTCTGATCAATTATATGTCTCGTTATAGAACGGGCCACCCTCTAGGGCCCCCACTGCTACGTTTGGATAGTGATAACGTGAGTCATACCACTTAAATCCATCCCTGCACCCAGTGCCAGCATTTAGTGGAATAGAAGATCCTCTATGACGGACGTATTGAGGGTATTAGCGACTACCAAATCCAACAAGATAGCTCAGCTTTTGTGGAGTCTTGCCCGCCTACAATTGTTTGGCTGTCATTTTCAGGACTTAGGATTAGTCAAAATAAGTGAAACCACTTGTGGCTATCTCTCATGTGATAAATTTAATTTTTCATCCTAGAAAACTATGTTTGGATATAGGGAAAAAATTTCAAATTGTTGTCATATGAATAGGAGTGATATAATTTTGAGTTAATATCACCGTTCATCATTGATTGCATTTTGGTTTGATAGCTGTGGTTTGAAGTCGTATTTTTTTTATATTGTTATTATTGTTTGAATTGATCATCACAAACCTCACTGATCATGAGAGTCACATTGTAACTAACTGAATTTTAAATAAAAACAGATTAAATTGGAATATTAATTAATTTAAATATACAATTCATGTGTTGTCATTCTAGTACTTTTTTTTTTTGGCCCAGTACTCTAGAACTTAGTTAACCCATACAATTTAATAAAGTTCAATGTAACCAAGGAACAAAAAAACCAGACCAAATATTAAAGTAGTTGAGTTAGTAGCTCAAGGGTTAATGGGTCAAATCGGGATCAAATCAAAATCAAACTAGTCACATTAAAATAATAGAATTTAATTGAAAATAACAAAATATAACAATATTAATAATTACTAATAACAAAATATAAGAAAATATAACAATAATTAGATTGTAACAATAACATTGAGAATTTTGATTTCTATGATTACTCAATAATAAAAATTAATAATCATTAATACCAAAATCATCATTAAAATTCATTCAAATATATAGTGACTGAAATATTAGGAGTTGAATGAAAAAAAATAGAATCAATAGCAAAATAATCATTTAAACCGGTTCATCACCTGTTTACACCAGTTTTTTCCAGTTTACACTAGTTTGACCGAGTTGATACCGGTTCAATGCTTAAACCAAACTAGACTACTGACTGGTTCAATTCCTTTTTTTTTTCCACTCAAATTTATTTAGGGGTATTAGTAGGAGTGAAAATAGGTTAGTCTCTTATTAAGATTCTATATCCATTAAATAGGCTAGGTTTAGGCTTACGCCTATTGTTAGGCCTCTTTAGATAAACATGTTAGGCCTATTTTTATAAAATTTAACCTACAAGACTACATGCCTAACCTATTTTGCCTTTTTTTTTTTTCATTAATATAAATCAATTTTATAAATTATTTATAAAAGTTAGACTGCTTGATGAGAGGAAGAATGAAGATGTGGAAGGGAAATGCGAAGATGGATCGGAAGAATCAACTAAGAAAAATGAGAGGAAAAATCTTGCACCATGAATTTCAATTTCGGCGAAGAACACAAGGACATGGAAGGTAAAGAAGTAAAGATCATTCTTGCTCTTGAAACATTACTCAAGAAAATTAACTTCCACCTCAACAATTCACATAAACAAATTCAACACCATTACCGATAATCCCATCTATAGGTTCTCATGAAAATAAACCGAACTTTTGCATACTCCTGCTTTGATGTTTAAGCAAAGCTTCTCCAAGTCTGGTTTGATATTTTCGGCAAAGGTGGCTGTAACTTCGAGTGGTTGGCAGTGGTTCGGACGTCTAGGTTAGTAGTGTTAATGTTTTTTTTTTTAAGATGAGAGCATATTATTAATTTTGTATTTTAAATATACATGTAAAATAAAAAATATATGTATTTCATTGATGATTGGATATGACAACCACACTTTTAAACCTCATTTTCATATTCATTCCTATATTCATTTCTATTTTCCTCAAAATCAGTGCTTGTTTGGTGTCATGTAAGCAGAGAGTTAAAAAATACTCCTGATCCTATTTATAAGGTATAAAGAAAAAAAGTATTTACTTCTACTTATAAGGTAGAGAGGAATTTTTTTATATGAATGTATAATTTTACTTTTTATTTATTATTGTATTGACTTTATTTTTTATAAGGTATAATGTATATTAATAAAGATAAGGTTAAGAAGTTGTTAAATTCTAAATGAGAGTTAATAAAATTTAAAATTTTTTTTATCTGTGTAAATTTTTTTATAAATAGGATCAAAGAATATTTCTAAAGCTCCAATCATAATTTCAAAATTCAAATAAATCTGAAATGTAGAGAAACGCTGGTGTGTCCCCCCCCCCCCCCCCCCCCCCCCCAACGCTGGCTTTCGAGTTATCCGCGTTGTGTTTTTTAATTTTTTTCCCCCGAGGCGAAAAACAAGGATCCAATGTTTTGTATAAACATGAATGATCGATTGTATTTACAGCAGTGAATGGATCCGCTGCTCAATTCGGCTTCTCCTTCCCTCTCTTTCCGTCGTCTCAGAACCAAAAACCCTTGTCTCTACCCTTTCTATCTTTGGCGTTCTGTACTTTTAATTGGGCCCTCAGATATATAGACACAGACATCAGCGATAAAATAAGAATGGGAGAAGGGAGAGAAGGGGATTGGGAGTGCAGTGGATGCAATAACAGGAACTATGCATTCCGGTCATTCTGTAATCGTTGCAAGCAACCTCGCCTTCTCGTCGACAACGAAACCCCTGCTGATTCTAAGTGGCTGCCCCGTATTGGCGATTGGATCTGCACTGGTTAGCCTCTTGGCCTTGCCCGTCTCTTTTCTTTGTCCGGGATTTAATTAATGGTCGAGCTTCTTTTATTCTTTCGTGGCCCACCTGCTTAGGTTGATTGTGGTTCATGATTCTCCCGTGGATTTAGGTAATGATATACAGCTTGTTACCTTAAGTTCGCAAACCCGTAGGTTCATTTGGCGTGCTTGTGGCTTGGGAATGGCCTTCAAAACATTCAATTGTTAGGTCCTTTTGAAATTAGTTATCTGCTTCCTGGAAGTTTATAAGTTGTTGCTGGAGCATGGACATGGCCACAAGATATAGTCATTGATTTAGAACAAAATCTAAACTGTCAATTTATAATTAAAAATTCTATTGATGTCAATCCTCGAACAACGGTTTCCTCAAACCCACTAAATAAAATCACAGCTTAAGCTAGAAAATCAGATTATAGGAGATTGAAACTTTTTGAGAACAAGTTCCAGTCTAATCTTATCGCTGAACGGCACAAAAATGATTTTGTTTGATTAGTTCGATAATGATTCTCGAAGAATCAAGAGAAAACAATTCGTTCTTTAAAATTTCCTTGTTAATTCAAATTCATTAGTATGATTTTTTAGCTCTCTTGTATTTTAATTCAAGCTTGTATGATTTTGAGACTTTCGTTTTAATGTTCGCAACATCTATGGCGTGTCTAATATAAATATATGAGGTGTCGCATGCAGACTCATGTCTTAAGATTATCCATCGTTCTTCTCAGGTTTGTGCATTTCTCTTCTTTCTTATGGAACAAATGCGGAAATGAAGTTGGATGTTCTTTCAGTTCTGAGGTCTTGTAGAGTATAGTATATTCTTTCATTGTGGCTAATATCTGGAATCATTGTAGATGGGAATCCGATCCGATATATAGTTGTCATTAGCACGCTTTGAGACAAGACAACTAATTTGAATGTTTGGTATGGTCTTGAGAGCGGAATTTAAGTTAGCAAGTTGTTTGTTCTGCTCCCCCCCCCCCACCCCCCCAAAAAAAAAAAAGGAAAAAGGCACTTGATACTTATTTGAGTCACAAGTTTAGGCTGGCAGAACTCTTATTTGCATGTCGTAATGGTAAGTATATAACTAAAATTTGGTGTAAGTTAGTTTCTTATAATTTCATTGATAATTTGCTGTATGTTATTTTTTTTAAAATCTCATTAAATAGGGGCCTGCAATGTATTTCACTATGCATTAAGATGTATATTTTTCTTGCATATGCAGTCTTTCCCATTAGCAACACAATAAGGCTCAAAAATTTGACGGTCGTTTGATAATCTTATGTTGCAAATAAAGATGAAGAACTTGATATCAAATAATTGAGCTGTTTGTGCTTTTTGTGTCTTTTGTGTGGGATGGACGTGTTGGTGTGCGTAACTGCATATGATTGGCTTCCTTTTCCCCTGGATGCATTGTGGGATGGGTTTGTATGCAATGGAACACAAGGTTGCACTAACAACAACTATGCATCAAGAGAGAAGTGCAAAAAGTGTGGACAACCAAAGGAGGTGGCGGCCATGCCAGCAGTCGCAATGACTGGAGCATCTTTCCCAACTTACTCACATCATTTTTCCAGGGCCCCAGGAGGAGCTGATCAGAAAATGAATATCGGATTGATTGGAAATAGTGCTCCGCCGGTTTCCCTATGGCTACCAAGTGGAAACTATGGTTCTGGACTTCCATATGATAATTCTGCCAACCCAAACTTACCTATTCCAAAAGGATGGCGTAGCGGGGACTGGATCTGTAATTGTGGCTTCCATAATTATTCATCACGTTCCCAGGTATTCCTTTTGCATTTAACTTCTAAATGATCTCAAATTGTTTAAGGGTGTAACTGTGTAAATATCCGCAATTTTTCTCATTAATTTATTGTTGTTGTTGTTGTTGTTATATATATATATATATTTTTTTTTTTTTTGCAGTGTAAAAAGTGCAATGCCTTTCCACCTGGTACGATTTCTTTTTCTGGATTTAGCATTGTAGGTGCAAAATTCATAACTGCATCTTCTACTTATGGATATTATCTACAAATGCCTTGGCCTCAGCATAACCCCCTCCCCCAATTTATATTTGCTCTGTTCTATGCTACTTGATCTCCTAGGGCCTCATCACATTATAATTGGGAGATTATTGGGCGTTTATTATTTAGAATGGAATTCTTTCTAGCAATTGATGTTAAATTTTGTCACTCGTTTCTCTTTTCTCGGCATAAAGCACTTGGAACAAAACGATTAGCTTCCGAAGAATTGGTTTATGACTGGGATAACAAGAGATTGAATGTTGGACATGTAAGAATTTGCTTTCCTTTATACTTCTAATCAAGTTTTGTTGTCTTAACATTTGTTCTTTTGAATAGCATATTGTAAGAATTTGCTTTTTTATACTTCTAATCAAGTTTTGTTGTCTTAACATAATAGCATATTTACTCTTCTTTCTACTTTTGCCACTCTGGTTATAAAATATTCAGACAATTGAGCAGCAACAAACATATACAAGTGTGGAGCAAGTGGTAGGGGCCAGTGCAGATTCAAAATCTGGAGTCTTCGCTTCTGCCACTATAAACTCAAGTACCGCTCCAAGTTTGCCAATGCCCATGTTGTTTCCTCCTCAAATTACTACACCTGCACTCCTTGGGAAAGGGTAATTACTTGCTCTTGCCGAGGATCCTTTTATTCTAAGACATTAGTTTCTTTGTGGATTGCTCAACTCAGTAAATTTTGTAATATTTTTCAAACCAAATCTCTCCTCTTATGGCGATGAGCACAAATTTTCCTAGACTATGGGATTCCTTATGCATGACATGCTGCTCTCAGAAGTGAGCAGCGGTTTTTGTAAGTGTTCCTGTAGAACTAGAAAAGTGTAAGTTTGGTTGATCCAAAAGTAGAAGTAACACAGAACTTCCTCATTACTGATAGGCTCGTAACTAATGCGCTAAGGCTGACTCACAGAATGTGTGAAGTGACAGAGTCAGAGAGAGAGAGAGGGATGTCAAGCATATATATGTGACAGTTTTGTAAAATTTATTGAGTAAAATACGTGCACCTGCCTTCTATTTAACTTAAATTGCAGTTACCTCCCTTTGATTTTGGAAACCTATATGGATCTCCGTTGAAATCAAAACATTGTTACACACTTTCCTTTTAATTTTAAGATTTTACTTCCAGCCATTCAACTGTGACATCTTATATTTTTATTTTTACCAACATATTTCTTCTCAACATTAATAATTCTTAATCATTTAAACACTTTTATTTGTCCCAAAATAATTTTTATGTATATATTTACAAATTTTTGTTATATTATTAAATTAATTAATTTTTCCAATATACAAGTAGGTGATTCAGTGAAGGGGTCATTTGGAGAGCGGGTATTATGGATGAATTCATGCTGATACGAATCATAAATCGGGATGGTTCTCTAAGGGTCATAGTTTTTTGCACTGGCTCCAACTTGCTGATGTTTGAAACTTCTGGTTGAAGTTCACTCACATGGAGCACTTACACTAAGTTTTGTTTTCTGTGTATGCATTGGATTTCTTCCCTTTCTGGTTGGAGCTCTCAATTATTGGTCATGTCCAGTTAAAGTTCGTAATTATGTCCTTTACCAGAAAAGGAATGTGGAGAAGATTTTGAAAGAAGCTGCAAACTGAGTTTTTAATTGGGCATGTAAATTGAGGCGTTTGTCTTGAAAGATGGCATTTGTTTTTGCTGTTGTCTCTAGTGGGCTTTCATTCATGCTAGCTTCTAGTTACGGTTTTAGACTGCACCATACTGCTCCTAAGTCATTTATATTGGAACCTGATATAAATGTTGAGCTCAAAGTACCAGCTGAATGTTTCAGATTTGCCTTATGTGGGTTGATGGAAAATATCATTGCTTATGTTCTGATATGCATGTTACGGTGACTGCAAGCATAGGATGACACGGCCTGGTTTTCTCTAGTGCAATGGGTCATGGAACTAATAATCACAACTGTATACAACTTGTAAAGAACCCACCAGTTCCGGATTCTAATCCCCTCCCTTAGGGCAAGGTGAAACTTGAGGCCTGGGAAATGATGGGCCCCCACCTATATTGGGCCAAGGCTGAGTCACAAGGAATGCTTGAGGAGTGTGTGAGAGAGGGTCGGTTAGTGATGGGCAATAATATATGTGCGCGCTCGCCAGTGGGTTGGGAAAGGAAGTAAGCGTACTGAGTGAGTTGTTGTGGAGATCCTATGCCTCTCAAATGCATATGGACCTTGGTTTAGCTTCTATATACTTCTTCTGTCTTTGCCAATATTGTTGCTGCTCTTCTGAGACTTGCACTCTAGGGGGATTTTTATACATAAATAATATAATTTGTGGAGTTGGTTCCACCAATTACTAAAGCTTTTGGGAGTTCTAATTTATATGTTTGAACTTTTTTGACTTATCAGAGCAAAGCAATGGCGTAATGGAGATTGGATGTGCACAAATTGCAACAATCACAATTATGCTTCCAGACTACAGTGTAACAGGTCATTTCTCTCCATGGTTTTCCTACGTATAAAGGGGGGGGGGGGTTGCGAATTGCTCATGATTTATTTTCAGGACTTTTTATTTAAAATATAATCCTCCACATGAGGACAAAATTTTGCTTGTCAAGCCATCGTATGTGCTGACATTATTGATTTGCTTAAATCTGGTTGTTAGAAGCAAGTATTCCAACATTGGCTGGCAGTGATTTTCCTTGTGCTTGAATAAGTAAACCGTTTCCCAAAACAATGAAAAATCTACACGTGGAATTATTATTTTTTATCCTGGGCTTAGATTTCCCTGTTTGCTGTTGTTTCCTCAACATGGAGAAGCACCTATGTTGCTATCGTTGTCTAGAAAACACAAAAATTGAGAACATAGGAACAATGCAGGTCAATGCTATTGTGCCCAGATATTCGTGCTGATTTTTGAACGAGTAACAACTACATTTTTATTGCCTTAATGCCTCGATAGTTTATGAATGATTCAGATTCATAATCTGCATGCATGCTTCTTGACTTTGGACGGAAGGGTGCTGATTGTTTTGTGAATATTGGCTTTTTGGGGCTATTGGTGTTTGTACTTGTGTTTTTTTCAGGATTAATAAAATCGACTTCTTCTGGCGCAAACTAAACTATAAATGCTTATCTTTTGCAGGTGTAAAACTCACAGAATGGCACCCATACAACCCGTCAATGTAATGTAATGTTGTATTTGATTATACTACTAGTTAGAATGTTGCATGCACAGTTGCTGCTTGAGTTTTGTTTTGGTTTTCCAGCATGTATTTTTCAGCCAAGAAGTGGATTTTCTTGCTAGGCTCGTTATGCTTGCATGATTTAGTGGCAGTTCATTTCAGTTTATCTGAAAGATGTATAATTATATACAGATTCATGGTATATCAGATTTTTGGTGTGTGTTGTGTTACCAGCGGTGATGCTGCTCTTCTTTTTGGGCCAAGTCTCGATAATGCTGGGCCACCTATATTCTTGGTCCATTTTATGCAATCGTTGTAGCTTGTCTGGCTGGGTTACCCAAACGATTTTAATCACGTTCTTCATCATGGGCCTGTACTGCTAACTAATCTGCGGATGTGGCGTAATCTGACCAGCCAATCCTTCCTGATTGATTCGCTTGTGCGTTAGCAGCTGGCTTAGAGGTTGTGTGCGCTCTGCCCCGATTATCTAATCTGATCGCTGGCTCCGAAACCTGTCACGGTTTTACTTATTCAGGATTTACAAAATCTTTATTGTGCCAGTGTATATGTTTTCCCCGAAACAAAAATAACTACTAAAATCTTTAAGGGACCTCATGGTGAGAGAATTTAATTGTGAGGTGCAAATTAATATTAATTGTTAATACAAGTCATGATAATGGTTAATATGGTTGGTTTAGTTGTCAAATAGCATGTGGCATTATAATTGTACTGTAATGTACTATTCTAACACAAAGAATTGTCATTTTTCGTATCCTCACTGGTCAATGATGACTCCTCAACTCGTCAGTAAATACACTTTCCTTATTTTTTGCTGCTAATAATGTCTGGTAAAGATTTGTTTGTACCTTGACAAATCGAATATAAATTTTTATGTTGTGCTATTGTATGATATTAAGTCATCCGTTGCAAGCTAGCAATGAGTAACAAATGCTTATTTAAATAATGTATTTTGAATATAAATGTTGTCATATGTATAATATAATATATGGTTAATATTTCTGAAATTTAACTTTATTTTTATTTTGATTTTTAAAATTTGAAATCAGTGATTTTGGTTAGTTAAATTTGAAATAAGTGATTTTGATCCTTGAATTGTCTGCTTAGAGGTTTTTGGCCCTTAAAAAAGTGTTTTTGGTGTCTTCAATAAGGATTAAAATCAAAATGAAGTTAAATTTTTATTTTTTGTTACAAGGGCCCGGGATTGAACCCGCAACCCACACACCCCACTTGGCCAAACGGCCAATGGTAAATTTTAGAGATCAAAATTACCAGTTTCAAATTTTAGGGGTTAAAACTAAATGATGTCAAATTTTAAGAACTGGAAATGATATTAATTTTATAATATAATAGTGCAGTATTAGGTAGTCATTCATGCTCATCCATTTGTCATTTGCTTGCTGCTAAAAATGTCATATAATTTTGGACTTCGAAAAATTTTATATAAATTTATATGTTATGTCATAATATAAAATTTTATTGCAAGCACCTTAAATCTTATTGCAACAGCACAGCTCCACTCAAAAATTTAATTTTATTCATAAATAATAACAATAAAAATAATGTACATTTACTTTTTAAATAAGGTATATAGAAAACAATTTCTAATTTAAAAAGAAAACCATTTTCAAGTTAGGCGTGGTAGTCACATCATAACACCATATTTTTCTTATAACATGCACATCTGTGATCTGTCTTTTCAAGTTGCTCATTTAACTTGTTCATTAATTTCTTCCTCTTTCTCAAATAGTTTCCCAAACAAGAACGAAGACCTTCAGAACACTCGAAATAGTTGGCTCCAAAATTGAGATGGGAGGGAGAACGAACTTTGTAATCATGAATATTATAATGGCATAAATAAGAGTGAATGTATAATATATTCTTCTGATTCTATTTATAAGGTAAAGAGAAAGAAAGTTTTTGATCCTATTTATAGGACAGAAAGAAAAATTTCTTACATGTTCAATTTTACCTTTTATTTATTGTTGTGATGATTTTGTTTTCATACGGTATAATGTATATTAAATAAGGATAAAGTTAAAAAGTTGTTAAATTTTAAATGAGAGTTAATAAAATTTAAATTTTTTTTATTGGTATAAAACATGTATGAAGATTAAGAGTTTAAAGGACATTAATAGTATCATTAAAGAACAACATTCATTTAGGGGTTATGAGACATGAGCCATGAAAAGAGATCCTATAAATTTATTAATGAAAGGTTATCATCACATTCATATAATTATAATACTCCTCCTGTCCTAAATGTAAAACCCTTATACACTTTAGTATAAGGGTCTTACATTTAGGACCGGAGAAGTAATATATACGCCGAAACCATATTATATGCGTCGTTATGCCTAAAAAAATTGTGACAAAATAACAATAAATGCTAATTAAGTCATGATATGTTTCCTCTGATATGGGGATGGCCAGGGGCTGTAATTAATTAAGGACAGTCCCAAAATTTTATTCATATATTGATTTCGATGTGTACATGATTTTAGGGATTACATACCAAGTGACTGAGGAACACTGATGAACCTCCCAAGTATTTATTTTGAGAGAAAAGGAAGAAGACATGAGAAGTTCAAATTCTAGGGGGGGAATAATTAAGCCAGAATCTGATCCAATGATTTGTTCTGAAAGTCGATGGTTTCGCGCTGGGCATTGGACTCTTTGGACAGCTTCTTAAGACGGGCATACTCGAGGTCCTTGGCCATTTTTCTCCGGTACATCTCAGCAAAGGTGATTGGTTCCTCAAGCAGAGATTCTTGTTCCTCTCCGAGCTTCAGTGGGTATACGATTGCTTCTGGGGATGGATTTTGGAATGTTGCTATCGACAATCTGCTGCACTTCGAGTTCACCACTGCTCGGTGATCCGCATTCTTGAACCTCCCATTACTCAGGTACTGTGCATTATCAAAAGACAAAATTGGTCGGATTTTATTTTCAAACTGCATGCATGTATACAAAGCTCTCTTCTTCTAGATTTTATTTTATTTTTGAAATTTTATGTAGCATCTCTTTATTTTAAAATATACTTGAAACTTTCGACCTCAAAGAAAAAAGTACCCATGAGATTACCTTACAATAAAAAAAATTTATACGCACGTCTCTCCAGTTTTCTACACTGAAAAAAATAGGCGTGTGATGATGTGAGTAAAATTAAATTCAATAGTTGCTTGTATAATATATTTCTTATATCTACAGGGTAGAGACAGTAGTATATGACGATTTAAAAATAAAAGTGACGAGGTTTATGACATCTTTTATAAAACAAGTTAAGCATTGAATTTGAAATAAATGAAGTATATAGTTTAACAAAATTTATAGAAAATTTCTATGGTTCACTCTAGCAAGTTGATTATTTTTATTTTCTAAGACGGTTAAGTCTATAATTAAAATTGATGTAGAAAGTGTTATAATTACGTCAAAGGAGAGAGATTGGTTTGTGTATGATGATGTTGGTACTCACATGGGCATGATCGCCGAGGTTGACGACGAAGGCTCCAGGGACAGGCTTAACAGTGATCCAGGTGTTGCCATTATCCCTGGTCGCCTGAAGGCCGCCGACGAGGTCTTGAAGCAAGAGGGTGATGGTGCCTGCATCGGTGTGACGCTTGAGTCCGAGCGTGAGATCAGGCTGGGGGCATTTTGGGTAGAAATTGACCACTAGCTTCTGGTCCATTTCCAGGCATGCCTTTGTCAGAGCCTCCTTCTCTAATCCCATTGCTTCTGACAACACCTCGAGCAGCTTGCTTGCCAGACCCATCAGCTTCTCGCTGTATTCCTCTGTCGCCCTTCGCCATCCTTCCGGCCACCTCGAATAGTCTCTGCTTCCCTTTGGATATGTAAAATATATGAACACTTCTCTCCAGTCCTGCACCGTCTCTCCCTGCATGCACGCACGCTCCCTCATCATTAACTAACTAACAATGGCATCACCTATATAACCCCCGTTCGTCCCTAACGTAACTACCTACCTCAATTAACTACGAAATAGCAAAATTAATAATTGCATAGCAGAAATCATTACCTTCAGATGACTGGAAACTATGAAGCCGCCTTTTTTGCCCCCAGACATGTCATAGCGAAGCTTCTCTTCTGGCGGCAAGGCAAAGAACTCTCTGGCGAGGCGAGTCATTTCCGAAACGAGTTCGGTGTCGACGCCATGATCGACAACTTGGAAAATGCCCCATTCTTCGCAAGCCTTCACAATCTGCGTACATATCGCAGCTCGACGGCCACCAACGTCATCTATCCCAGCCAGCGAAATCACCGGAACTTCATCGCTGAATTGGTCGTAAGCAACTTTCGGACGCTCATCTTCGTCCCGAATGAAGCCAGACCTCAGGGACTTCTCGGCGGCTATCTCAGTGAGGGTGGTAATGGAAGCCATATATATATATTTATATAGCAGAAGCAAGAAAGAACAAGTTCAATCACTATATATATATGTATATATAGGGCGTACCTTAATTTGGATATGGGAAGCAAAGGAACTGGATATGGGAAGCAAAGGAACTAGCGATATTTATAGAATGGGAAAATGGGGGGTAGGAGCTCCACCTAACCCTTGTTGAGGGTTAGCAGTGCTCTTGACCTGGAAAATTTCCGGCTGCCAGCTGCTGCCATAAATTATATACGCGAATTGAAGCTGGTCAATATTACATATATAAGTGAAATTCATAGAATATTGATTTACTAAAATCAAAGTGAATCGGTTAATTTGTTCCCTTGACGCATGGTTTATATATTTCTTTGAGACTTTTTTTAATCTAATTTGGCTTCTATTTTTAAGAAACTAATTGTCTTTTTGAGGTGAAAAGTCGGAAGCTAACGTACGTTGCCTTTTTTTCTTTTGTGGTCAGAACTTGCCTTTTACTGAGTCCAAAAAAAAAAAAAGGAACTTGCCTTTTACAAGTTACTTTTTAGTTTCTAAATAACTTTCAGTTATTTTCTAACAGCAAACGCTAGTGTGTTACTTTTTAAATTTTCAGTTTATGAAACGGGTTTATTTTTAAAGAATGTATCCGAATATAAATACCGTATAATAACTATTACCAATCTGATTTTTGCCAAATGAACTTTTAAGATACATACTTTTGATAAATTGAAAACCAAAGAGACGCATAATATTTCCAAAAAAAAAAAAATCAATTACACGCAGATTATAATTATTTATAATGTTGTTATTAAAATTGTTTCTCCTACATCTTGGATACCTGAATTTTGTTCGACTTGAAACTATAAGAACTGTTTATAACTTATTATATATAATATGACTTTTATAAATTTTACTATATTATGCATGCATATGTTGATGATTTTAATTTATAATTACTAATAAAATTAAATTGATGTTGTAAGACTAAAATTGTTCATCCATTCATATGGTAGCTACCAAATAGCAGCCAGTTCCAATTCATGCATATTTATATATAATATAAAAATTTAATAAGCCACAGTATAATATTTAACTATATATATATATATATATATATATATAACTCGATGCAAAAGTCTTACATTTAGTCCAAATAGAAAGTTGCGTTTTTATTATTAAAATTAGAATTCACAGATCAGAGGGTGATCGCTATTCTTTGAATTCTTTCAAAATTGATGCACGAATTCTCCACTGCATGATGTAGCCAATTGAATTAGTCATTGATACCACGTCAGTTCTCTCCGTCATTTTATTTGAAATCCTTTTTTGTCAAAGTTGATGCATGAATTCAAATAGTTGACGTAATTCTTCTAGAATAATAATTTACCAATGAATTATTAATTGGGCCTCGTTTGTCCTTTGTCTAAGTAATCAATCTTGTATTAGTTTTATGTAAATTATGAGATCCAATGACTGATCATGAGTCTCTTATCTACGTATTCGATCAGTCTTATAATATTATGACTGTGTATGTCCGGAGAATAAAAGTCGCTTATTCTCTCCTCTTCTCTACCCACTCTGCTTTCCCCTCCTCTCCCATTTTTTTTTTTAATGTTATAAATTATGAGAGAAGATTATCTCGGTTCAGATTTTGAAAAGGAGAAGGGGAGAAGGATGAGAAAGGAGGAGGTCGGAATCCTTCCCCACCCCTCGTTTGCGTATTCAGTCTTTAAAGGCAATGCTTTTCTCCTCTAAATTTTTTTAAAGATATCTTTATATTCTAATGTCATCCTAAGCTGAACAAAAAAGAAAGGGAAAATTTTGTTTAAGGACCGTAGTACAGAATTAATTTTAAAGAGCTTCTAAAACTTTCTGAAACTTTACTGCAAGACCAAGGGGGAAAACTGATATTAATTCCACAAAGAAAATGACACTATTGCCCCTCATGTGAACAAGTGTGGGAGAGCCCAATTGCAAGAAAGACTAGATAATTTATAACATACATACATATATTTACAACTGAAATTGGTTCATTTACATATCACCTCCTTCACCTAAAGCAATTGGGACTAGACAATTTGTAACATATATTTATTTATTTACAACTGGAATTAGTCTGTTTACATATCACCTCTTTCACCTAAAGAAGGTGTCCATGAGTGAACGAGTATGGAGAGCCCATTTGTAAAGGGGACTAGTCAATTAGCAACCTACATACTTTTATTTACAATTAGAATTAGTTCACTTACATGTCATCCTACAATAAGTATTATGAGAGCCAATAGCGTCATTTTCTTTGTGAAATCAATTTGCCCCTTTGGTCCTGCAGTGAAGTTTCATAAACTCTTTGAAATTAATTCGGTCCTTAAACGAAATTTTTCCAAAAAGAAACGTTATCCTCCATTTTACATTTGTGCGGTGTGTCACTTTAATACAATAAGCCGACGTGAAATCGACATTTTTCATTAAAAGAGACTAGCAATATTAATATTAAAAGATTAAAAACATACTTTATAAACTTCAATGATTAAAATTCAAACTTAATATGTAAATTTAGAAAACCAAATATATATTTTAGCTTAAAGCATGTTGAGTTGTGCGCTTGATTTCACCAAGATCACCAAACTACAATGGGCTAGCCTAATTAGATATTCCTTGTTGGTCACCCCTGTAATTAAAAATAATAAACATATGATTCAAATCCTAGAGATATCTTAAGTAATTTAGGAAGCAGCACTCTTTAGGATTAAATAGATCTTTCGTGTAAAAAAAACAACCCTATTTAAGATTAAATAAATCCTTCCTATAGAAACATAGACAACAATAGGTAGAAAACTCAACAAAAAGAAAACAATTTCTAGAGGAGAAAGGAATGCGTGAAGTGTTTAAAAACCCTTATAAGCACTTAGAATAATTTTTATACAAATCAAGACAACTTTTTTTTTTAATATTTATTTCGAATTTTATAAAATTACTTCTAAAAAGTTATTCCAAACTATTTACTCTTCAAATAGTACCTTTTCATGTCTACGCAAAGAACACGCACAAAAAAGACGCCTGCTCACAAGAAGAGGCCTGTCAGAAGTACTCTTTCTTTTGAAACACCCAAACTCAATATTCATAGTCCCCCATACGTGCCATACTCCGTGGAGTTTTAATAGGGGCTGCCAGACTTTCGAGTAGGATCTGGGGAAGTCGATGATGAGAGGTGGAAGTAAGAATTGAGTGTCCGAGTCATACTCATGTCGGAGAAAAGGAGAGCAAGCGAAAGAGCAAACAAGGCGCTGTGATCCTTGATACCATGTGACGGAAATAAATGAATGGAGTGGAAGAGTGAAGTCAAGAAGGAAATGAGGAAAGAGACGATTGGGAGAAACAATATTCAGACTTCATTAATTCTAAAGTGGTTTAGATGTATTTATACTAAAATAAGTACAGCCGAATTAGTTACAAAATAATACTAATAAATAAAGAACTACCTGTTTTCTTTACAATTACTCATCATTTACATATTTATCACAAAACTTCAATAGCAGTTCAAATGTAGTCTAGCATATGCTTTTTCACCATTTAGATCCTAAAACCAGGGATGCCACGTTGGATCCATCATGCACAGGTTTCTTGGATTCAAGGCCGCTTCAACCAACTCAGTAACACCCCTCTGCACTGGTTGGGGTGGATCCATAGGATTATCCTCCTAATTACAAGTAAAATAGAAATATAAGCAGCAGCATTAGATTCACTTGGGGGTGAAAAAAAATATTTCAGATATAAAGGGAGGGAGAAAATCTAAACAAGGCATTTAACGTGACAGGAGTATTTGTAATGCTGGCTAACCTCCTCCGAGAAATTTTGTGGGGCTATGCTCTTCACCCGTGTAATAACATGTTCCACATTAGTGGTGACCTTCTGTTTAAAGTCATGGGGGTTCATAGAACCCCCTCCAGCTAAAGGGGCCATGGGCATTCCAAGTGGCCTTCTCCAAGACCAAGACAGCAGCTCATCACGGAAAAACATTGCAAGGTGATGCCACAGATGCGGGCTTTGCTGCAACATTAAAATTTGCAACTAAATTGACATTCTTGAACATGAATTATGATTAAAACATCAATATGAAATGACATATGCGCGTACAAGCTTGTAACTCTCACCTTAGGAGAAACAACAGCCTGTGCTGCAGCACACATTGAAGATACAATGAGGCCTTCCACCCCAAAGTGGGAGAAAAATGCTTGCATGTTCCTTGTAAGCCTGAATGGTACAGGCTCATTAAACTCAATCAGTCCATTTGCATCATATGCAGGGTGAAAATCAGTTTGGAATATTTTTCCAGTGTTTTTTGCAAACAAGATTTTATTTGGAGACCTTCCACCAATTTGTAGCATGAAAGACATGAAACTTGAAAGTGCCAACTGGATGGCAAATTGCTTTTTAAAAGCCCACATGTGATTGCCGCTTGGCAGAGTCTTGTACATATACTGTGAAAAGATGTTGTCAGTAACAAGAGTTTTCGTTATTTCATTGTAAGCCTGCAGCCGAAGATCAACAACAGCTTCAGGCGATATTTGCCCAGATATAGCCTGGTTCAACTGTTCCTTGAAATAGGTTATTGGAAGATCTGCTTCTCGGTCATTCCTAGCACAATGATTTTCATAGACCTCAAGGAAGGTGCTGTACATTAAATCATCTTCAACCATGCGAACCTGTCCGGACAACGTTTTACAGAAGGGTTCAGTAAATAACTTAAAATAGGATAATGGTTTCTCCTGCTGTCTGTGTGATTTTATGACAAACAATACCACAGCTGTTTATAAGAGGGGAATGCTATGGGTCCAACTGCGAAATAGATAAGGTAGATAAAACAACAATGTAAATGAAGAGTCATTCTGACCTGGGACCAAACAGGAATAATTATTGGCGTGTGAATGCATATGTGACGGCGTCTTGATTCTTTGTGTTTCTCAAACATTTGGTTCATCACACGGAAAAGCTGCAATATGCGCTCATCACTTCTGGCATTAGGAGTCAGAGATGTCTGGACAATGAAATGGCGTTGGGAACCATCAGAGCCAA